TCATTTTTACAGAAAACAATAACATTACTGGATGGGGGCTTTTATTTACAGTCCTCAACTGGCTCTAAATTGTCCTTGTTCACCTCACTCCAGGCACACCAATTTTTTTTTTTTCTTTCAGCTATTTAAATTGTAAATGTTTCATGAATAAAAATGATGAATAATAGAAAGGTGCACTATATGAAAACATGTTTAACATATGATTAGATTTCATAAAAGTTCAATTCATAAATGCCATTCCATACATTTTTCTATTTTTTAAACAGCTTCTAGAATTTATTACATTTTCCATTAGAAAATAAATAATGCTTACAATTTCAATCATACCTCTAATCTGATATTAAAAACCAAAAACCACACTTAAAATCCCACCACTTTCTATTGACCACAGTAAATAAACTTGAATTATTTATTCTTCATGAGTTAACATTCCCCCTGTGTAATATTGGGAAAGGGGGGGGTGTGTGTGTGAATTTGGAAGAAAGAATAATGATGAATAGCATGTGAAAATGTCATTACTTCATTACATCTTGATGGGAAAATAGCTTGCTTTTTTTGAGAGACATAATACATGCATGTTCTCCAACACTGAGAAACTTAGATGGTAAAGTACATTAAGGCATGAACTGCGTTTTCACACAAGGACTCAAATGCATTAGAGAGCCTTTGACAGGATCTCTGTCAGGTTTGGGCAGCAATGTTACCTTTTAGTCTGACATTATTTCTGGTAATAACATTCTTTCATCTGGTTAATACAGTATGTCTAGAGCAGGGGATCTAAGACGAGCTTCTAGATTCAGCTGCACTATTCAGTTGCACCTTAACTTGGTGTCAGGGCTAAACTCAGGCATTCATGAAACCCCCTCTTCTTTCCAACCTATGATGTAGGTTTCCATACGTAGGAAAGACAAGACTGTGAGCTGCATGGAAGCTGCAGTACACTTCAGCAGAAAGGCTAGACACAGCCGTAAGTTATTTGGCAGATGAGATGGATGTTTTTCTTATGGTTTTAAGAGATTTTGCTAAATACAGTAAGATGGAGAACTAAGAATGCAGTCTCCTCATTCCCTCCAAATTCTTTACCCTAAACTCGTCTGCAACAGAAAACTGCTAGAGCATGTTTCACAATGGCAAAAAGAAGAAAAAGAAATGCATGCAGAAGCTACGGACTTTAGAGGTAGAGAAATAAAAGTCCTCTGATAAGATGAAGGAATGAAGAAATAAAGACATCTACTAAGACAAGTTGAAAGGTACTGCCCTGAAAGTTCTCATGCAGATGATCAGTTTACATTCAGGTTTACTACAGACCTGTGTGTTTTCAGTATCCACATGACCCAACCAAGACTAGTTCAAAAAGACTGAGTACTCACAAATCCACCTGTGGTAAAGCATAACAGTGATTCCTAAGCATTTTGAAGAGCAATCCCAAGTATTTTAAGGAAGGTGAACAGACAGGCTGTTAAAAAAACTTGGACATTTCAGAAAAATCTATCTGTAAACTGTCTGTCCTAAACGTTCAAAACTGTTTATCTCCTAAAAATAATGGCAAGTACTTGGCACTGCACGCTTCTGAAAAAATCTTGTCATCTTTTTTAATAACATGTCATTTACTTGCATTTTTTAAGTACGCTGATACTATCTTCACAATCAAAAAGAGGGAAGATTGCTTTCCTCTTCTAATCACAATATACATTATTGTGTACTTCAGGATTTGAACACTCTGGATCAACATTCAGATGGTATGCTAGTAAAAGAGTATTCTCTGATGAAAGTAGTAACTGACTATCATTTAATGCTGATATACCAAGTAGGCTATACTCAGGCAGTAACCATATTTCCTATAGATCTGTTGTGAGTTTTTATTTACCACAGAAGTGATTTCAAGGTACTGTGAAAATGAATTGTACTTACTGTTATAAATTTGGTTTTAACAGCATGTAATATTTGGCAACAATGAAGAATCATTGGGTGGCAATTGGTCATATAATAATGAGTGCTTATCACCCCTAAGCTTACAAGAAGCAATGAACCATAGCCACAAACTGTAGATATTTATAAACATCTGTATAAAGTCTGAAGGTATTTACAGCTTTTAAGCATGTGATCTGAAAGCAAAAGGGTGCTTTCCAAACTCTGCTACACCTCTGCCTGAACTATCTCAGTATCAAATACGTATAAACCTTATCTTATTTAATTGTACAAAAACATAGAAAAACAAAGTAATTATGTGACTGCCTAAAACCAGTTTTCTTTAACTGTCAGGCCTGTAATAGCATAAATTATACTCTGTTGCTTTTTTACTATGCAGGGAGCTAATAAACACTAAATAATGACTAATATTACCATATGAAATTGATTGCAGTTTAAAATTAAGATCTTGGTATTCACAACTTCCTTATCTTCATAGCAGTTTCAAAATGCCTAGATATTTAAAGTACCATTTTGAACTTATTACCTTTGTTTACATTTCATAAAACTTGGCTGTTTATCACACATCATGTTGTAATTGCCTGATTTTAATTTATATAACAGCTCAGAGCAACTCTATGTTTTCAATGATAGCCAGAAACAACTGGACCTCCCAGAAGGAGGTAATTATACTGGAAACTATTGCTACTGTCTGCATTGTGGCATTTCGGCTTATTAGAGGAGTTATCCAAAGGAGTTTTGGAGTTTGTGGGCTTTATTACCCACAAGCATATAGAGGAGTATAGAAGCTAACTAAATGCTTGAAGACCATGTCCAAGAGATATGTAAACAAGAAAACAGTGACTCCTGAGACCCTGGACACAAATGCTCTTCTCAGAAGCAGAGATCGCTGCTTTTTCTTCTACCTTTATTGTGGTATCAGTGATGCTATTTTTCATATGTGGGTGGTCAACTGCCTATATGCAACCTTCAATAATCACTGGTTGCAACAGAAGCGAGACTGGAAAGGATTAGCGTAAGGAAAACATCTTGTTAGGATCAACTTTTGAATCTGAATCAGCAACCAAACATTTCTGCAGACAAATGACAGCTTTGTGTTAATTATAAGGTACTTCAGTTTCAAAGCTTAATGGACCCTATTTTTCTTTTTTCCTTATAAAGTATTTGTTTTTAAATATAAAATTCTAGTTCCTAGCCTGAAAATTTTGCACCTGGAGTACATATCAAAGTAGCTTGTTTATCCAGGATAAAGATTTTCATTTCTCCGTTTTAAGGAGGCAGACTTCAGCTTTAAAATATCTGAATACTGTATTTTTGTTTCTCACTGCAGAAATATCAAAATATTTTATCAATAATAAAAAATAGGAACTTCTCAGAAAAATAACATTGCAAACAAATTATAGCAGCATTTGCAGTACTGGCTGCTTTGATACCCAAATTACTAATACATTATTATTAGTAATATTAATTATTCATATAATGATGTTATTGCCAAATCTACTTCAAAACTCCATTGCTAGACCTCTTAGATTTTAAATCAAATCATGGTCTGAGACCATGAAAATTAACTCTGACCCAGCCAAAACCAGCATGCCTATTATTCTCCCTAAAAGTAAATGAGTATAAAATTTTTAAGGCTACCAAGAATTCAAGTGATCCCAAATTCTTCAGAGAAACAAAAATCAACACTGGCTAGATTCCCTGGCAGTGCACCCATCACATAAACACTGACCCAGAAACAGTTGGGGGCACAGAAAGGTACATTGTGTAAATAAAGAGCACACAAGGGAAGATCCTGGTGAAAATATTTATGTTCAGGAGTGTGGAGAGCAGTGATAACTCAAACACAGCATAGTTATTAACAAGTTATCCTGTCAGTGCCTCCTGTCCCAAGTGATGTCATCAAGGATCATGCATTATAGAATCATAGAATGTTCAGGGTTGTAAGGGACCTCAAGATCATCTAGTTCCAACTCCCCTGCCGTGGATTATCTACCTCTGCTAAATACAGCATATTTAATGGAAATTGCATTAAGAATTTCATCTAATCTGGGGTTTCCTACAAAGTACTGCCAAGTAACAAGTCTGTCTCTCCCACCAAGCATCTTAAGGAGTTTCACATTTGAGCTAGACTAGGCTTTGCAACTTCACTATCTCACAGTTAGTGTCCCATCAGGAGAAAACAGAGCTCTTTTCAACTGTGGAAAGAAAGGTTTGGTGCTGTGGTAACACTGCAAGAGGAAATCTATGCATGGAGGTCCCAGGTGGATGAGGCCTGCTCAGAGCAACACACATAAAAATGACATATACAAATGGCAACAGAGTAGAAGTCCAGCATTTTCACTGCTGGCTGAACGTACAGTTACTTGTTTCCCAGTCAATGTGTGGAACTGGCTGCAAACAACTGGGAAACCAGCCATCCTTCTTCAGTGCTCTTATGTATTTGTGCAGAATTTACTCCAGCAATTTCACATGCATACTCAGGATTTGACTGCCTTTATTAACCAAAAGCCAGACTTTAAATTGGAGGTCCCCAGGTAATGCACAACTGTATACCGTAATTTATATAAAATGACCACTAAGCAAACGTCTGTGATTATCAGACTACAGCTGAAAGTCCACATCTAGAAATATCTGTTTGCCTAGCAACTGGGATACTACATGTATATTTAGAAATGCTATTACACATGTGGTTTTGCTACATGCATGCTACTTTTTTCCTTTAAATAAGCTTGCAATACTGCAAGTTGAGTCTATACAGAAAATCCTATCAAAGGCTAAAATAGCTATATCCGCTTTACAACCAGCCTCGGGTACAAAACAAAGCATATCCCAAGTTTTGATGTTTTATCTGCAACTAAGTTATTACACAACAGCTGGGAAAGTCACTCTGCCTTTCTTCTCTAGTGTTTTCATCTGTATAATGAGAGTAGTAGACAGAGATGGCTTGCACTAATGTAATCAGAATGCTGCATTGGATAATTAATATCTAGTATGGCTACTTTGATATTGACAAATTATACAAAATATTAGGTACTCTGAAAAAAAACAAAACAAACCCAAACCCAAACCTGTCTTGACATCTGAAGTAGTCATTTAAAATGATGAACCAGAACAGTAAACCAAAGCACTGAGTCACCTTTCCACAGTAAGGCCTTCAGATCTCTCTTTCTTGATTCCTCATGGATAAAATTAGGATAAAATATTGTTCCAACTAATAGAAGAGTCACAAAGATGAAGCAGAGCTTTCTGCTGAAAGCAAGTTAAACATCTCTCATGCGGCTTCACATCTTTCATTTCCCCTTTACTGAGTGCTCAGCTTTGCAGTCACTCATTTAAGTGTTCCTAAGCCTTGCAAACACCCATGAAAAAAACAGAAGCAGCAGGTACACATTTCTTTGAATAAAGAAACATAACTGGGAAGAATGAACACAGGGACAAGGAGTCAGGGCTTTCTGCTTCACATTCAGGACTGCCTCTGATTTACATGTGACATTCGTAAGCAATTTTATCTTTTCATCATTTTTTTCCACTAGTAAGTGGGATGAAAATACATTCCAACACTAACAAGTGAGTAACAAAATACACACTAACAGTTTTGTGGCACACAGATAATGTGACAAACACCAGTGAAAACATTAATAAGCAAATGAATATTTCTGTGCAAGGTCTAGCAGGGTTTTGCTGTACAGTATGAAACAAGGCTGGATCCTTTCCTGAATTATGAGAGACTGAAAAAGGATGATCAATTTTCAATTAATAACACATGATAGTAAATTAAGACTATCTCCAAATACATATACACATAGAACAGAATTAGCATTGCTTATACACATTTTATTCTTTCATTTCCTAACTTTTTGGTGCCAGACTTCCCACTTTTCACAACAGGTTCACTGAATACCATCTGCAATTAAGGGCTATTTTCAGGGAAAAGTTATCTAAAACTGTCTTGAGGTACTAAGCACAGGTATCTCAATAAAAAACTCTGGCATAACATATCATGAGCAGGTCACACGAATTGAGTTTCAAAAGAGAAACAAAATTGGTAGGACTAGCCATACTCACAGGGTACGCACCCAGCTTTATCAAGAAAAAGCAAAAAATACCTCAAAGAATTCTCCACTCTCCAAATGGAGACCTGCACAACAACCTGGGTAAGCAACTTCCCACAAGCAGTGCATCCCATTTCTCCACAGAAATCTCACCACACACCACTGCCTCTACCCTTCACCCGCGGGCAGCCCAGGCGAAAACCGCCGCATCCGTTCCAGCAGCAAAGCCCTTCACATTCACACCGAACCCTCAAATCCCCACCTCATCGCTAAGGGCTAAGGTGCGCGGCCGCAGCCCGCCCGCGAGATGGCGGCTGTGGCGGAGCAGCTTGCCCTCGCCCCTCACCTCACCGACCTGCCGACTGCATAGCTTTCTCGCCCGCTTTACTCCCCGGCCCCGAGGGCGCGCTCCCGGCCGCTGAGGTCGATCGCCACCGGGCCAGAAGCGCGGGGCCGCCCTCGGCTCCTCCCGGCCATGGGGCTCCACCGCCCTCTGCGATCCCCCCCATATACCCTCCCCGCGGCTGTGGGGTGGAAATGTGAGGGAAGGACCCAGCAGCCCTATCACCCTCGCCCCGTTAGGTGCGGTGAGAGCCCCTGGACGTCGAAAGTGGTTGGCTGTGGAGAGAAACTGAGGTGGCGGTCGCGCCTGTCAGCTCTGCAGGCCAGTGAGCTTGGTCCGAGGCAGCAGTGAGCCCAGGTCACCCCAGGGAGCTGCTGCGTTGTGTGGAAAGCCCGTGGAGGACAAATGGCGGCTGGGGGAGATCATCCCCCCCAGGGTCTCTGTCATAGTATCATAGTTTCAGTGCCTGGGCAGGAAAGTGTGGTGCTGTGTGAGTTAGCACCTCTGCAACATTATATTTATCTTTCGACATGCACAGAGAAAAACTGAAATCTAAAGAAGCAGGACAAAGCAGAGCATGTGAGAGGCTGCAGACTATTTAGCTCACTGCTTTGCTAGCCAGCAAACTTAGTCAAGATCAAGATAATATCTTTCAAGTTCAAAATAAAGACCAGAGCCACCACAAAGAGCTGGAGTTGCCCGTTAAAGGAGGATTACAGGAAAACTGAAAGTACCTTCTGCAGGAAAGAAGTGTTAGGTTGGTTTCCAAAGGGAGCAGTTGTTCAGCTGTACTTCACACATACGTTTGTCTGTGCTTCTCACCCACCTGAACTTCTTTGTTCCCCTTCCCTACCAGATCTTTCATGTCTTGTGGATGATTTTAGAGAAATTTGTCAAAGATTTCAAAGATATCAAAGGCGAAGTTGCTAAGTATCAGTTTCAGCAATGTGGGTGTCCAGAGGAGACAAATAATACTCAGGTCTGCCTGAACTAAAGGAAAGGATGCAGAGTGAATTCAAGCAATACTAAAGACAAGAAAATCTGCAGAGAAGTCGTCTTTATAGATGCCTCAGTGTGACAAAATCTTCACAGTTTGCAATCAACCACAAAACAAATCTGCAGGAGGTTGGACTTCAGTCAAAGAACTACTTTTGTAAAGCCCTTGCACACTGCAGGGACCGTGTCCAACTGAAATATGTGAAAAAATGAACCATTGTGAACTGCTCCTGTCATTACACAGGTAGGTGCTTGATTTTTACTTGGTGTCTTTGTGGTCTGGGTTGTTTTGGGTTTTTTAGTATGCTGAGTGGTTTTGATGAATTTCTTTCTTGACCTGGCCTGCCACACAGAGGAAACTTCCAGCTGCATATACACAGGGAAAATACAGAGTAGATCAAATCATTTCAGTCTACAGCTACATCAAAAAGAGCCTGAAATACCTCCTGTTGTTCCTTTTGCTCATTTTTCCCTTCAGGTTTCATTCATTGCAGTGACAGGTACCTCATACCATACCTCATTCCAGTACTGTATTTTTTGACACAGGGGATGCATCACTAGAGTGTCAGTAGTCCCGAGTTGTTGAGCAGGATGAATAGGAAGGAGGTGTCTTATAATGGAGGAAGCAATATGTCATTTGGAAATACTGTATCTGACTTTTTGCCAAGGTAATACTGATTGCTGCTTCTTAAAAGGTGGATTAGATAGTGTGGTTGGCTGTGGTTGGGATGATTTTGTCTGAACTGTGACAATCTTCACTGTATAGATGAGAATTTATGAAAAGAAGGCAATTAGGCATAAATGTATTTAAATATGAAAATAACTAAAATTGAGCTTGAAACTTTGTCATTCCAGTAAAACCAGAACAAAATTAGAAGCTTTTCCTGGGTACTGGAATGAGGGACAAAACGGAATTGTGATAGGCCAATTATATACATTTTGAGAGGAAAGTAAGAAGAAAAGGGAAAAGAAAAAATAAAAAAGAGAAAAGAAAAGAAAAGAGAAAAGAAAAAAAGAAAAGTAAGGCAGCAATGTGGAAATCAGTTTTAGGAGGAAGAATAAGATTTGCTTTTAGCAGGGTCCAAACCAAAGAAGTTCTGCTCCACATGGAGGCCTTGCTGGGGCATTGGTCAAAGACTTGCAATGATACGGGCAACATGCATATTCTCATTGAGGGGGGAAGAGGAAGCATGGTGCTAGGCGTATGATGGTTTAGGATGTATAGAGACCATCTAGGACAGGTTGATGAGAAGGTGAAGCTAGCGATGGAACATAATTCAGGAGTTGTATTGTTAGATCACAGTTTAAGGGAGGATAAAACTTGGTGGGGACTGTGGCAGTTTTAAGAAGGTTTGCTTGGTGTAGTGCAGATCATTTGTTGTGGTATGTGCACTTTAATCCTTACCTGATGATGGTTAGGCTGAATGTGTTGGGTCTGTGCTTTTAGCTGAACACAATTTAGCTGAATTAGTGTTCACTTTACCACAGAGTTTTCCTGAGCTACGGTGCTGCCATCACAGCTTTTGAGACAACGATGAGAACAACAGGGGTAATGATGAGCATGGTGCTGGTCTCTGATTATTTGCAGCTCACAGCGGTGCTAGGTATATTGAGGCTTAGAGCTAGCAGCCTTATTTCCAAGAACAAAGCAGCTGGATTTTCTAACTGCAGAGTTAGTGCCATCAGTTTATACTTCTTCCTATACCAGCCCAGCCATGAAGGTTTTCTCTGCTGAGGTGTAATGTCTGCATATAACTAGCTATTAGTGCCAATGCCATTTCCAGCAAAAACTCCTGCTGACAGATTAAGTTTGCTGTGAAGTCTCTTGTGTCAATGTCTTCTCTGCAAGCCCAGTGGAAGAATTAGGTTTCCCCAGTTCTTCAGCCTCCTAATGACTGCACTTTGTATGTACCATTAAATCAAGGAATTTATAATTTATGCTGGAGGCGGAAGAACACTCACTGTTTCTAGGCAAGGAAAAACTAGTTAAATTATTAAGCAACTTCAGCTCTTGTCATGAAGTGGTGCTGTATTTGAGGGAAAACAAACAAAAAATACATGTTAAACCATGAAAAATATGTCTTGGGAATGACGTCAGTGTTGTGTTCAAGTTGTCTGGGTGTCCTCAATAAGAATTTCAAGCTTCAATTTTAATAAATTTACTTCTGAGTATAAGCTTACCTCCATACATCATAGATTCGCAGCACTGATTTGCAGATAATTATATACTTCTGTAATGCTTTTTAACTTTAGTTTCTCACTCATATTCTCAAAACTAATTTCTTGCTAATAGTTTCTGGTTTTCCCTCCATAATTATATGTCTATTATTGGAATAGTGGCTTCTTGTCTGAATTTAGTTAATATTTGATATATTGCCAGTATAAATTCTCACATATATTTCATGTGGTTCCTACAGACCTAAAGTTTGAACAACTTTTTGTCTGTTAAAGACCTTGAGCTAGTCTTAAAAAATTTATTCAGTTTGTTATTAATTCTAAATTTTATTTGCAGCCTTCATTGCAAAATCCACTGATACTACTGCTATAATTACTAATGTAAGCAGCTAGGAGTATTGCACCACAGGTGATATTGTTTGGTTTTGTATTTTATCAGGAGTTTGCATATATGTGGGATATTTTAGATTCAGGGTGTAGCCATGTTAGTTTATCTGCCTGTGCACATGGATACTTCATTTCAAAATCAAATGTTACTGTAGGAATTAATACGTATTTAGCTGAGTGTCCACTCTTCCTGTCTAGTGGGAAAAAGGAGAAAATAAGTACATTATATATTTCTAAATATTGGTTAAATCTTACGAAGAGATACTGAAGAACTGAGAGTGTTACTCAGTTTGTATGATAGCTTTCAAGGAAGCAAAAAAATAGTGCTTGAGACTTTTGTTACTTAATTTCACGTCTACTAAAATAGTAATAAAGCAGATCTAGAAGGGAACATGAGCCCAAAAGAAAATGTTACTGTACACCGTAACACTGTCATTAAGGAAAAAATGGGTTAAGGGAGACGAATCTAATAGCTTCTGTCTCTACTACTGTTATGATTAAATTGGTTAATGACAGACATGAAATATAAGAGATATAAAATGGGTAACCTGGAGCGTAAAAGCACTGCCAGTATGTGATGAAAATGATTAGTGTCATTCTTTAAGTTCATTCTTTTATATATATATATAAAAATCTGTTTCCTCCCATGGTGTCCTTGGTGGTCACAACAGTTTTATATAGTTTTGGAGAAACTTCAAATAGATTATACTTCTATGTGGATTAAAAAAAAAAAACAAAACCTCTTTACAGGTATAGCAGGGAGCAGAAATGAAATTCTCCCCTCCCATGTATGTAATATGATTTCATGTACAATCACCTGTTATCAGGTGATACATGTTATTTTGATTTAAGTTTTGGTATGCATGTATGCTATGCATGTATGTTTGGTATGCATTGTGTATTAATCCTCAAGATTTTGCTTAACAAAAATCTGTGAGTTGGGTGCCATGTAAGCCTTCAGTGGTAAAAAACTGAATTAATAATGTTGTGATTAGAAACCAGTTCAAATGCTTTTACAGCATAAGAAAGTCAATGCCATAGTGCAATGCTATATAGCAAGCTACTCTTACATGTTTAGGAAGGTAATACCTGATGTGTCTCATCTATGTCTTACAGTGATTGTTGGTAAATATGAATTTTTAATGCCTGCCATCATGGTTGTTTTATACCTTTATTTGAAAATCTGTATTGAAGAGCTACACTGCTTATAAATCATTTGATGCAGTGCCCAACAGGATGTTAGAAAAATTGCTATTGAATTGATTTGGACGCAAATCCCATTAAATAGACAATGGGTGGTTTATGGATTAGAAAGCTTGGTCATAAATGAACTGCTGGTTTGTCTTCCCATATGAAACCTGCAAATGAAGTAATGACCATAAAGATAATAAATAGTTGTTCAAGTCAGTTGAGACCCCAACTGCAGAATTTTGTGTTCCTTCACTTCATCGAAAGCATCACTGGATATATACATACTGGATTTTTTAGACCTAGATTGCTCACTGTTTTTGGGCTGTATTCTTGGCTGATGCAAGTCAGATATATTCCGTCTTCACTCTCCTCAAAGTCTATGGACATACCTTTGTATGCATCACTTTTTCTTCCTTTGTATCATATTGTATGTTCTTTTCATATTAATAACATACCTGCCAGTATGTCTAGCAAAGTAGTGACTGCTTGGACCATGCAGGAGTAATGCTTGGCTCCTCTTTGAAATCAGTTGTTAAAAATGGTCTGGAAGATAAAGGAGGAGGACACCTGAATTGCATTCTTGAAAAATAGCAAATATATGTGTTGCAAACAGGGAAGGACTAATTCAAGACAACCTAATAGGATTGTAGCAACATGTGGAGATTAAAAACCAGTGAGGCTATTAACTTCAGTGTCTGAGGTTGAAAAGAGAGATATCCAATAATGAAACCAGTTGGTACTGACTTCTTACTGATTGTATGTGCCTCAGTGACTATGGTGACTTCATTTTCTTCTCAGTAGCAGTGTAACATTATGCAGTCTTGACATTTGATTTGTTGAGGGCTATTTGTAATTTTTCAGAACATAATTATTGTACTGTAATGGTTTGTTTAAACAATGTTGATTTACAGGTTCCTCCTGTTAATTTATTGATACACACCTTTGACCATTGATGATAAAATTAATTTTGTGCAGATTGAAGTCCTTCTAGTAAGAAATTCCTTTTCAGATACAACTGAATCCAGATGAGAAGACGAAACTGTTGCGTATTTCACTAATACAAACATCTTCTAGAAGAGAAGAGGCAAACCAAAACCTGAATGTATGATTTTGAATTCTCTGATTATATGATTCTATGAATGAAGGTAAGATGACGTTTATTTCATACTACAGTAATGCAGTATTGCAGTTAACTAGTGCATCACTGCTGTGATGCAAACTAATTTAGTGGCATTTGAAGGAAAAGGGGAGATTTTCCTGTGGAGTTTCTCTGCAAATGGGTTGAGAGAGTAAAACTCATTTTAAAACATGGGTCAGTTAAACTTGTCACCTCAAACTCCTTGAACTGGCTTCTAAGGAAATTGTCTTCACCTCTCCAAGCTGGTTTTTTTTGCACCTTATATGTACCAGGGCAATTTTTACAAACGTTCTGTCATACTAGATATTTAGCTGGACAAGATAATATTATGGGTTTACCCCTCCCAGATTGGG